CTCACAAGCAAACTCTCCGGTATTTCGAACTTTCGACGGAGACCATTTGTCTGATACCATATGAAACGACTTCACTTCACAATCGAGTCTATAAGAAATTCGTACGTCCCAATTCGAATGGAGATGATTCATCCAATTTGGAAATTCGTACCCCTTTTCCAAGCTTTCGATAACAACGGACACCAAACTTTGAACTCGAGAGTTCTAATCACGATTCACAAAAGGAAGGCTCTGTCGTCACGCATGTTCTCGATTAGGCACCAACCCTACACGCTTTGACAGGGTCTAGACCCCAATTTCACATCCATTTATGGAAAAAGACCATATAGACTTTGACAGGGTTCGGATCTGGTCTTTTCCAATTGACCACATGCCTGATCGGGCGGAAAAGTTTTGGTTCACTGATTTCTTCTTGATGTCGGGACATGTTGTTTGTCCGTTTCGATTTCTTGAAGCAGCAACACACATTCTCCACCCAACTTCGCATGTGATTTGCTATTACCGTGTCTGATGAAACCCGGGACATGAACCCACCCTTGAGCGCAACAGCATAAAACCCATCGAACCGAACCGGTTCCCCGCTCGGCCTAAGATTTTAAGTGCTTTGACGGGGCTACGACGGACACGCGAGCTCCGATTGATCATATTTAGAGCCGAGAGGAGAAAAATGGGTATATATTGAATGTTTGATTGAGAAAAATGTGTATATATCTAAGTTTAGAGACCAAAATTATGAGGACAGACTAGTAGACTTGTCCAAGAAAATACTTAGGCTGTAAATTAGAGGCCCAGGGGAAACAGCATCATCGTTAAACCAACGAAAATCTAAGTGCAAAATAGCCCATATTTAAAGATCCATGATACTGGATTAAGGTTTATTTTTTTAAAATTAGTCAAAGGAAATGACAGTGTGAAGAAGTGATGTCCCATGCTAAAAAATACCATAAATTATTCACAAACAAGTTGTAGCGCAAAATCATCACCGTGGTGGTTGATCTAATAGTATATAATTTACTTCCAAATGGTTTGAGTTCCCCTGATCATTGGTCCTAATCTCCCTATCGCTCCTTGATCTCTAGAAGCCTTGACACGTTCGACACGTGGGTTGAACATGCCCACGACACCGGATAATCCCGACTCCGTTTCAACCAGTATCGTGATGCGGCGGAGGTGAACGTCAGTTAAACCGTTCCATGACACCGGATAATCCCGACTCCGTTTCGATTAGCATCGTGATATGGCGGCAGTGATAGGCGTATTCAAGATGAGCATTGGTTACGACTCAAATTGGACATTCCGAGACCTAAAAGGTTGATGACGCCAGTAATTTGTCATTTCCCAATTGTTTAAACCCATAAAGTAAAAGTTTAGCGCATCATCAATTATATTTTGACGGTAAGAAAGAGGGTGCCTCACGTTAACTTCACCGCGTCATTCTTGCCTCTTTTTTTTTTCACTTTTCCATTATTTCTTTAGTTATTTATTTGCGTAGTTCATTTCCCCACGGATCCTAACATTCCTTTATTCGCCAAATGTGCACTTGCATTACTTTTTCACCTTTCGTCCCTCCTAATGGCCGGTAAACAACCGGTAGCCCGCGCCCATCGCGCGATTGGCATCCGCTCAAATGAACGGTGCTCCTTTTTGTCTTCATTCAGGTACCGAAAGTTATCCTCGAGACCACGAGTTACATGCATAGGTGACCGCTCAGATTTATATCGTGGGTGATTGGTTTTATAGTGGGTCGGTTTTCACCCCCCGGGATAAGAAATCAGACCGAAAGGGGTCGGTTTTCAGTCCGTGGAATCAAGACCGGACCCGTCCACCTGAGAACCGATGGTGTTATTTATTTATTTATTTATATTTTATGCTAAAAAAAAAGAAGATACAGACTTACAATGAACCGGCAACATACTGTGGATCAATACTTTGTCCTCAATTCTTTTAAAGCACCCAGTACTTTCGAAACCTACTACTGCTTGGTTGATACTTTGTCTACTATTCTTTTAATGGTTTCTGCTATAAAAAAATGTATACATATATTCTGGGCATGTTCCGCCAGTTCGGTCCGGTTAGGTCGATACGATTCCTCCCCAAGAATCGGGAACTGGACCGGTGTACTCCCGGTTTCAAAAATTAAAAATCGAAAACTGGATTGATTCTCGCAGGTACCATCCAGAGCCGGCCAATGTGGTCCACTTCCTCGGGTTGAACCGGGACCGATACATACTTCTAATGTGTACGAGATGTATGTCATATATACTCTGGCGATATCAATGTTTTAGTAATCGTGGTACAATGTCCAACTCAAAAATTTAAACTATTGAGCAAAGAAAGACTACATGTACATTAAAAAAAAAAAAACCTCAAATTCGAAAGTACGTTCATAAATTTAGAGAAATCGTATGTATATGAATAGCGTATAAACCCCAAGTTAAGCAATGCCAGATATCTCAACATAGATATATGTTCAAAATTCGATAATAGCCTTGTGTTTCGAGATGAAATAAAACCATTTTTTGATGAGTTTTTAGGCATGAAATTTGCTGGACCGGTCCTCGACTCGGCTTCAAGTGCTCATAACGTAAGGTTACCGTTCTCTGTCTCTGTCTGCCACAGAAGTCTCCGTGATGTCATCGCTTTAACATAAATAAATACAAAAAAAAAAAAAAATAGGAGGGGGGAGAAGTGTACGAACGGTAATGAATTACTAACGAGATTACGTCATGCCCCATGCTTTACCGCGTGCCACACGTGGCTCCGGTGGGCCCACAACCCCCCCACCACACCGTCTCGAGAAAATCACCTTTGAGCTCCCCCCCCGGCCACGTGTGGCGGCCCCCGCACGTGGCCGCATCACCTCATCGGAGCAAATAAATTTTACCCGTGCGGGACAGGAGAGCCGCGCGAGCCCACCCCTATCTCAGCCGTCGGATGACGTGGGGCCCGGCTAGGGGCCCACCGTGATCCGACGGCGGGTACGGCTTCGGGCGCACGTAGGTCATCTTGTGAATGTCGTGTCCCGTGCGAAGGGCATTCCCGGAGAGGCGAAAGTTGACGGGGACAAGAGCTTGGTCGAGACGTGACCATTGATCTCAAGCAACTCTGGAGATTATTTGTGATTAGTTTAACGTGTGCAAATTATTGGAGTGCCTGTCCGAAGAACTAATTAATTATTGTGCCACCCATAATTGTTATATGAACTTCGAACTGATCCACTTCGTCTTTGTCTTGATTTTTTTTTATTATTATTTTTTATAATCGAAATGTACGAAGCCGAGGCCCGATCACCTACAAGCCCGTGAAACATCCTCCAAGTCTCGTGGACCAGTTAAGTCCGGACATCAAAAGCTATTTGCAATCGATAGTATCCGGACGAATGATCTTTAGTTTCCGAACAAAAAATCTCCTAGAGCACCGATTGACTGTGCCAACAAACTGTCTTGGGGGCGAGTTTTTCTTGCATTGTGCTTAACAGCTTCTCCTGATATAATAGTTTAGAAAAAGTCGCATGCGAGTGGATTAAGTGTATAATAGATTTTTTCTCTCTATTATATTATCGGGTATAAAGAGTAATCTTCTACGCGATTGGTAGTCATACCCCGAATTTCGTATTGTGTCTTTCTAAATTCTTTACCTTAGAGTACTCGCAATTTACCTATTGATAATTCATCAATACACTAAACAAAACTCTTTTATGGATTTGTGAATAGCAATCACGAACCATAATTTGCCCCAACGGCCACCTAAAAGAAAATCACTTCTCTTTAATTTCCTAATTTTGAATTGTCAATATGCGATTAATGCTTGCTTACAATTCAAAGTAAAATGACTTGACAATCTCATCGCAGATTCCACAACAGCGGGAAGAAAATTAAGAACGTACCAAGCAAGACTTGATCAAACTAATTGACCCCGTAATCAAGTCCTGTATTTCGATCCGTTTCCCCATTTTCCCAATATATAAACCAGAAAATACGACGAACCAAGCTATTAGAGCACGTCTCATGTTACGTGTCCTATGGCAAGAAGTTCGAGAGGGCGAAACTTCAAAAAATAATATTTCATCACAAAAGGAATCTTATTCGAGCGATCTTATTTTTCGATTTCACGCAACGTTTCGAGAGGAATCTCCTGGCGAAATTGACGTCACCTCTACTAATATTAGGACTATTATCTTCTTCTTCTGGTTTGGTTCAACATTCGGAAACTATAGTCACACCCTCCTAATTGTGGAAACCAGGATTGGACATACGATGACACTAGGATCATTTCATAGTTTATTCGAAACCTTATATAATTCCTACTTAGCCAAGCTCTAATACATTTAATTACGTGTTTTGATACCCACTCACATCACATCTTTCTTTTTAAGGACATTCACCTAAAAATTCCAATACGACCCCGTCACAAGGCTCTCTAGATCCCAATATTAACATTGCTTGGTCGGTGATTACATACGTATCCGTTTATTTTGCAAAAGACGAATAATTTGAAAATATACTTTCTAAAAAAATGATCGTTTTGCATCGCTTATAAAGATGAATAAACGAAGATATTTTCATCACTCACGAAAATATTTAGACATAAATTATTATTATAAAAAAAATTCATTTTCAATTCATTCATTTTTCGCACACAAACGGACTCTAAATATGGCGCGTGTAAAGATTTCCATGTTACGATATTAAAAATAAACAAAGTAATTGCGAGAGATTTTTCTACACCGCCGGTGCACACCTGCTGGCGAAAGATAAGATAACAATGAACGCCCACTCGCGACGATAAAAGGTGACAATCGTCAATCCCAAGCATCAAAGCAAATAACAAAGATTTGCTACAGAAAGGAAACACCCTTCTTTTTCTTTTCATAAAAAAATCAAGAACGAAGCTTTTGGCTGTAAAGCATCGAGGAGACAGCATCGATAGTGATGACATGCTTCTACATGCTTCGGTTGATGCTTCGTATGGGATAATGGAGTTCCAAGGACACGTCGTGATCAGATCAAAACCTTAATTTCGACACTGCCCTTTTTAATAGTTTTGCATTTTTCCTATAAAAATTGTACCTTTCTTCTTTTCTTTCTTCTGTCCTTTACAATACCAATCTGATGTGGGAACAAGGAGCGAAGTTACAAAGAAGATGAAAAGAAAAGATAAAAGTAAAGGGCCTAAAAACAATCGCCTAAAATTATTTCATGACAAGAAAGATTTTGCTTTTGTCAATCAAAGAATCCAGTATGTGATGATGATTAGGACCGTCATGAGCCAGTTGATGAAGGGTATTGGCCCGAACCGGGCCATGGCGGCGGCGGCGGCGGCGCTGGAGGCGGAGCATCTGTGCCGGCGCTCCCCTGATCTTGATTGTCCGGCGGCAGCGGCAGCTGCCTCGAGTAGCTGGCTCCCTGATGCCGCCCGGAGTAAAGCAGAGGAAAAGTAGGAGAAGGCGTTGGTCCAGAGGGCGCGAAAAAGGGCGGCGGCGGGGGCGGCGGCATCGGCGAAGAAGATGATAGTGAGGACGACGGTGATGGAGTGGAGAACGAGACCGAGAATGACGACGGGGATGCGAATTGGGACGGTTGAAGCTGAGAAGAAGTATACAGCATCTGCTCCAGCAAGCTTGAAGGTTGTCCCTGAAGAAGTCTTGAATATTCCCAATAGTCTCTGAACATGTCGGTGCCCTGAGCAGGTTGATAGGCCGCCTGCTGCGGCAGCAGTGGCGGCTGTGGCGGCCGTGGAGGAGGCAATGGGGCTGCTGCCACTCTCGGAATGGCGGCCGCCAAGCTCGCGACGTTTTGTGGCATTGGCTGCGCCAGCCGGGCGAGCTCGGGGAAGTTGAGCTTGGCCCGGTTGCCGCGGAAGCGGAGGGCGGCGTCGTCGTAGGCCCGGGCGGCGGCCTCGGCCGTGTCGAAGGTCCCCAGCCACACTCGGGCGGCTTTGTGCGGGTCCCGTATCTCCGCAGCCCACTTGCCCCACGGCCTCTGCCTCACTCCCCTGTACTTCCTCCTCCTCTCTCCGCCCTCGTCCTGCGCCGTCGCTGCCGGCTCGGCAGCCGTCGTAGGCGGCACCGCCGTGACGGCGGGCGGGGCGGGCGGCGGCACAACCGGCTTGGCTTCTTCGGCTGCAAAAGAACCGCACAAACAATTATTCCATCGTTATGGACGGAAAAATGCAAAAACATGTGTACACGTTATACATGGAAAGCGGAAAACCAAGAATGGCATTGCGAGTCAAAACTCAGAAGCTTAATTTCTCGTAGCAAAACTTTTTTGACGAGCAAAGATGATTAGCTCAGAATACTCTCATGGCATGTAACATAACATTGCCTGTCGAACGCATTTGGTCTTTATACTTTTCAAAATTAAAGAAAATAACAACACGTTAAATATAATTAGGAAGGAAAAAGAAATGAGAGGGGCAATGCCAGAAGGCCATTCTAAGGGGGACTGTTTCATTAAGAACAAGAGATGTTCCAATTTTCCGACAACAAAAATGATAGCACGAAAAAAAAGGAAAGAACAGAAAATAAAAGAAAATCTCTGTCATGCGAAGTATGCGCCCTCGTGAAAATCATTTGTTCGAAATTATAAAATAAAATATCTAGGAAATGACTGAAATAATTTTTCGATTTTTTTTTTGGGGGGGGGGTGAGGAAACACTAACAACCGAGAGCAGAAGATGGCTCGGCTTGTTCCGATGACGAACCGCCGCCGCCAAAATCGCCGTAAACCCTACAGCTCCTCGGGATGGACTCCAGCAACTGGTGGCCCGACGACGACGACGAGCTCTCCTCCTCCCGCCTCCGCTTCTGCCCGACCCAAGTGCCCGAACTCGAACCCGAGTCCCCCAAGCTAGACGGACCGGGGGATGAAGCCGCGAACGGGGAAAAAGTGGCGAAAGGTGACGAGGCCGAAGCCGAAGACGACGGGAGCGAAGCGGGAGCAAGAGCTTCCCCGAGCCCACCGACCCCGCGGTGCCCCGCCGACACGACTTGCCTCAGCGCCGACACCATCACCGTCATCTCCGTCTCGTAGCTCCGCGGGTCCAGCGCGAGCGGCCGCGGCGCGGGGGCGCCCCCTTGCTGCTGACGCGCGGCCCGGTCGAACGCTAGCTGCTGCTGCGGCGGTCGTTGGGGCGGTAGCATCAAGGGCGCCTCGGGGGCGCGATCGGCCAACTCCCCACGGTCGCCGCCGCCGCCGCCGCCATCTCCTCCTCCGCTCGAAACATGCCTGCGCGCGTGGTCCCCGGGATCCCCCTGCTTCGCCACCTTCAGTAGTATGCACATGAAAAAGAAAGGAAAAACTCCAAATCGGACAAAGAGGAAGGAAGGGAGAGTAAAAAGGCGGGTGGAAAACGAGGGGGCTTTGTATGTATGCGTGAATACCTCCGGATGGCGAGGGCGGGCTTGTTTTCGGCTAAATACGAGGGCCACTTTTGGGGATTCTTTGATGATGACAAAGGTGTGTTGTTTTTTTTTTCGTCGATAGAGAATTCAAACTTTGACAGCCGCCATTGATATAGTAGTAGTAGTACCACCACCACCTTCGAGCAAACCCCTTCCCTTCCCTTCCCTTCCCTTCCTTTTTTCGCTTGCTGTGTGGCAGACAGGAAATCAAGAACGGCTTGCTTCTTTTGTTTTTAGTTCGGGGCTAAGAAGGAGGAGAAGAGGGAGGAAAAGATTAGAATATTTTCGGTGGGGGAGGCGCGCGTGACGCGAATGAAACACATGCCGATGTGCCGGTTTTTCCCCTCCGCCGTTCACACGGACACGAAGAAGAGCCGACAGCAATCCGAAGAGCAAGCTCCAGCGAGAGAGAGAGAGAGAGAAAGAGACAAGAGGGTAATGTCGGTTTATCTTGTTTTTGTGTTCGAGCTAAAGAGCAGGGGAGACGCATGAAGCTTGCAGAGACAGAGAGTTCGTGTTGGATTTGATGTCTGTTCTTTCCTTTTCTTTCGTTGTTTTTTTTCTAGGATTTGATGTTTGTTGACTGACATGAAAATTGAGGGATTAGGATTTAGAGCATACTTAATTAGTGCGCACAGTGATTAATCATTAATTTTGGGCTGGAGTAATCTTCTTTTTTTTTTTTCCTTCTTTTGTTCTGGGGGTGATAAGCCCATACGTAATCTTTAGCGCTTACCCCAAAGTGGGCTAGCCTAGCAACTTGCTGAAGCCAAAGCCTGACCCTTACTGTTCACTTTTCAATGCCTTTTAGATCTCTGATTTCGTTGTTTAATTAGTGGTAATACGAATATAAGGAAATTCCAAGTGAGATTTTTCTTTTTTCTTTTGGTTTGACCTCATTGGGTTTGACTGTTGAGACTGCGAAAGGAAGGTTCACCAAGAGCCAAGAAGAGAGAGAGAGAGAGAGAGAGATGTGTTTAGGAGCCGCACGGATCTTTGGCATTGAATGTTTGAACTCTTTTTGGGGGAGATGGAAGGGCCAATGGGTTAGACCGAGACCACATCCAACATGACAAAATAATAGTAAGTTCGAGGGTGCGCAACAAGCAACTTTGCTCGATCTTGATTTTGACCATTTCCCCTTTTGGGGTTTTGGATAAACTTTGACTCTTCAATTTTCTAATGGAGGGAGTTAGCAACTCGATCACTCAAGAGCAAACACGAACGGATCAACGTTACGGCGGGACTCGCATTCTAAAAACCCCGATGACTACTGAAAGGCTAGTCTTGTGCACACGGCACGTACATGACCTTCGGAGTAAAAAGGCATAATTCGTCGTAAATTATCAATCAGTGCGCTTTACCTCAGTAAAGAACTGTGTCGAGAGTAATAGAAAAACATTACTGTCAATTCGGTCCCTCGCCAGCATCCGCCGAGCCTCGCTCAAAGCCGGCGAGGCCGGCCCTCGCTAGCCTTGGACGACCTTGCCCTTCACGGGCCCTCGCCTGTGGCCGGTCGTTGGCCATTGAGGAGGCCGATGACCGTGGAGGAAGAAGGGAAAAAAAAAGATATAAAGAAAAGAAAGCAAAATTTTTTTTTTAAAAAATGGCAAAAATTATCCATGTTATTATCAGTTGTGCCACGAAGAAGGGACAGCGTCCACGTCATCGATTTCGGGTTTAAAATTGACCGGAACGACTATATTGGCAAATTTTCAAAATTTTTATGACTAAATTGATCAAATTAAAAGATTTAAAATTGAGTTAGCATAAATACAATAGGTTCGGGATTTTATTGGTAATTTCTCCCCCTCGTCTCGTTCATAATTTTCGCTCTCTAAATCAGAGAAAAACCCTCTTAAATAAGCAGCTAAGATCTCTCGAGCGAACACACCGTAATTTCCGGCGGCTAAAACAAAACTTTTCGTCGGTGTATTTGGACTCGTCCTCGTCAAACGAAACGACGTATTCGTAACCGAGCAAAATGCCCGCGCAAGTGCGGGTGGTGGGGGGGTGGCGCGTGTTTCGTCCCCCACGCTCGGGGGACTAACGTACGAGCGAGCCAAGCTCGTTCTAGCTCCTTCGAGGCCCGGTCTTATCCTTAATTTCACCGAGGTGAATCGGACTTTGTATACTTTGCCAAGCAATTTCGGACTCTTGTGGAACACTTTCTTCGTCGCTTCGGTGCAAATCGTCCTTCTGTGGCGACCCGACCCGACCCGACCCGATCCATGCTTTGTTTCTTTTGGCGAAACAGTCCCAAATGGAAGACGACAAAAAAAGGAAAGAAAAAAGATTGGAGAGATGGAGATTGAGTTTTCAGGTCAGCGTGAACTCTGGTCAACTCCATTTCGGATCACCACGAACTTCTTTTTGGCTTTCTTATCTACGCGCTTGTCAGATCGAGATGAAAACGAGTGATTAAAGAGTGAAGCTCGAGTCCCAGACGGTAATTGATTACGTGCCGCGCGGGATTTTTCAAGGTTGGCAATGATCAGTGACAGGAAAGATGACGACGGTTGCGACCAACGAACGGGATTCGTATGCTCAAGTTACGTGACACGCCCCTTGAGTTTCGACCCCGCGATCTGCTCGTATATATTCGCGCGAATTCGGGCTCCCGACTAAGTCGAGGAAACTAATTGAGGGGTTCGAAATCGCCTAATCGGGGAGAGATTGTCGCGCGCGCGCACGCAAACACATCTGGAACATCGAACTTGGTAGGGTTGGTTACGATTTGATCTCGGGTATGGAGAAGTTCGGTGTGTCGGGCACGTGGCCCCCCGCGACCGTCTTAATGATCATTCCCTAATTGGACAGTAATAGTGTATTAAGACGCGATCGAGGAGCTAGGGATTAGTGTTAATTATAGGTGCAAAGAGGGTGATTTGGTTCCCTTCTTGTTGGAGATTAGGACAATTACAAAGGTGTTTGGATATGGATGAAACTAGAAATATCCTCCCTGCTACCACCAATAATTACTATTAGGGTAGGTTTACCGAATATTTCGTTCTAGAAGAATTGACCCGTGAATTCGTAGTCGCCACGATAATTTTTTTCTTAATTTAATTAATTTCTCTGGAAATTTGTTAATCGTCCTCCTGTCCTGTCAGATCGATCCATAGTTTGAGCTATACGATTGACAGAGGGTGATATGCATAGCCGAAAAAGGTCAAAAAAAAGAGCCATGAGTTTTATTCCGTTGGCAATGAATAATATGAAAAATATCTCCTTAAAAATGATCGCGTACATTACTTAAAATAAATAAATAAATGCTTTTATCGTCCACAAAAACATTTAGAATATTTATCGTTGATTAATTGCTTCAAGCAATAGTATTAGGATAGACGTGTGAGTTGCATTAAAAAACATCCCACGTTGAAGAATTGGTGTAGTATAGAGTAGTTGATATATCATTGTTGGGCCATAATTCATTGGTCTAAAGCTTTTGAGTAAAAGTGGGTCCAACTGGATCTGTTAACAGGCTCTTAGTGATTCCCCCGAGCGAAAGGTATCAAGTTTTAGCTGTGCACTCCTAACAAATTGGTATTAGAGCCGATAGTTTGTTCCGATGTTTGGTGGATGAAGTTGGGCATAATTTCCGGGCGATGAGGCCCAGCGGCAAGATTTTATATTTTGATGCAGAAGAATACCTAAATTAAGGGGGAGCTCCGGAAAGATTTGTTAGGATGCACGTGTGAGTTGTGTTAAGAAAAATCCCAAATCAAAGAATTTGTGTGATACAAAGTATAGTTAATATATCCTAATTGACCCATAATTCATTGGCTTAAGTTTTTGAGTAAAGATGTATATAACCGGATATGATAACAGGCTCTTGGTGATCTCTCCGAGTGAAATGTATCAAGTTTCTGCTGTACACTCTTAATAGGTAGGAGCGATCATTTTTGGGAATTTTTTTTTTCGAATTATTCATTTTATACGAAACAAATGAAGCCTTGGTATCAATAAGATATCTGTTGGGATGATATCTCAATTATCTTGATAATGCATTTAAATTTTGATACTTTCATTTCTTTCGGTTGGGGCTCGAAACTCGCACAGAAATTGCGGTTGCAAGATTTCATCAGCTCCGCTCGCCTGTCGGCAGTCGAGATTTCATAATCCGCACGTGTTTGTTGGATGTCCCGTCCCACGTGGCCGTTAAGATGGCGATGGATATTTAATATGGAGACGTGTGGCTCTGAGGTGGCACCAAGCGCATGCGCTCTCTCTCGGAAAGGATCAAAATGAAGGATTTGGAATGTATTTAATTCTCATTTTAACCACATCATGCACAGTATAATAGCACTCCAATAGCACAGCAACATTATATCATTTATCTATGATCCAAATTGATAGAAAATATAAAAGAAAACTGAGATTGGAGTGCAATTGTACTATTGCATGATACATGACCCTAAAATATTACAATTAGCACCCCCCATAAAATTCGAAAGAGTTGCAATTACACCCTCCTCCGAGCCCAAAGTGGAGACATGCTCGGTAGAGATTTGATGTTTCCCTGCTTGCCTTTTTTTCCACTTGCGGTTCTTCTTCTTTTGCTAATCTTTCTGCATTTTTTGGTGGACGGGATTCTCCAGGAAAGGACAAAAACTGCCGCACGGAGAATTAATTTAATTTAATTTACCGTAAAGACGCTCGATAATGATTCTCTTAAGCACGTTCGCGAAATTGCGTGACATGTGATCATGAATTACTGCGATTTTCTTTATTATTTCTTTTCCTCAAACTCTTTTATTTTATTCTTTTTTGCTGCTTTTGGTGGCTTCTCTTGAACCCCTTTTCGCCTGCCGACGAATTGGAACGAAAAAGGAGCATAAAACTAATCGAATCCGCAATGGAAATTGGAGACTAAAGGTCGGTTTTTGGTACTGATCAAGCCGAAATTGAGTAAAATTAGTGGGAACACATCCGATTCTCAACCCCTTTATTAAAGGGTTTATTTTTATAAAAAAAATTTATTCTCTTTCGCTCGATATTCTAAAACGTGTGAATAGTATTTAGGGGCTTGAGTTAGGTCGAAAACGGAGAGAGCAAAGGTCCACTTGGAGGAGTTCCCCCGAACATATAGCCTTTTTGTCGAGAATTTGTCAGTGCGAAAAACAAATGCCTCTTGTACACAATAATAATAATTATAATGAAAAGGCAATTGCTTCTGACTTATTAATTAAAGTACAATTCAAAAAGGACGACGTTCCCTTTTTGTGTTTTTTTTTTTAGTTGTGTAATGTAAACCAGCTGGAACTTATGCCTGAATAAGAATAAAGATGGGTTCAATTCATGTTATGTTTAGTGTTGTAAGTTCTAAAATGGGGTTAAGTACAGGAGAAAGAGTATAGTTTTGTGCGGATTTTGACAAATTTCGAGACAATACGAAGATAAAAGACGCGGGTTTCTTCTTAT